TTTGGTCACAAAGAAGATTTAGATAAATATAATCAATTTATGTGACTGAACTGGTAAAGTGAGACTCTAAATCTCCAAACCGGAACTAGAAACATCCTCAACTTACAGTGACATCTTTAACAGGTAGCTGACTTTGGTCTTTCACGTATCAAGCACGAGACATACCTAACCACCAAGTCCGGAAAGGGAACGGTACTTAACCTAGACTATTTTCGATTGGAATTTATTGTCAACCTCTCACAATGATAATGATTGGCTTTTTACCTGTTCGGCAGCCTCAATGGATGGCTCCAGAAGTTCTTCGAAATGAGTCTGCCGATGAGAAGTATATTCTCTCGTGTTCTGTTTGGTTAAGCTCCCGTGATTAATTCTAGCTTCAGTCCCTTACAAACTCTTCTAATTCTTTGATACAGGTCTGACATTTACAGCTTTGGTGTGGTACTATGGGAGCTTGCGACAGAGAAGATCCCATGGGGAACTCTAAACTGTATGCAGGTATCATTTTTTCTCAGATATACTGATGAAACGAAAGTGTCTCCACATGACATTTGGTCCTAGATATATGAAATATATGCGAAACTTTTATTTATCAACGACATGTTTTGCTCTATCAGTGAAGCTAAAAGATAACAATAATCTCTATGCCAAAAGATTAGTTTCAGGATAAACCTCTGTTAAAAAATTCATCTAATCTCCGTCACTCCATAAATAAAATGTACTCATTAGGCAGGTAGGAACCATAAAAAACCAAATGTGTTATATATAGTCTAGCCATACTTGAAACAATATTTTCTCAACATCTCTACGAATTTGATGTCCTGTTTCCATTGGCTTGCCTAAAATTTTCATTTTTAGTCTCACTGCACGTCCTCTTAATATATACACACACATACATGAATAATATATGAAGACACGCTTATTTAAAATATCTGCAGGTGATCGGAGCGGTGGGGTTCATGAACCAGAGGTTGGAAATTCCAAAGGACATTGATCCTTGTTGGATCTCATTAGTAGAGAGCTGTTGGCACAGGTAAATTAAGTAATTAACATAATTTTTGCTAAAAATTATATAACCAACCTTTAATTATTATTATAGTTCTCCTTGATTTAGATGTTCTACATATTTCACAGCTAATGGTGACATTAATTTGTGTTTCTGTTTTGGTTTGTCTCACACGGCAGCGATACAAAACTGAGACCCACATTCCAAGAACTGATGGAGAAACTAAGAGACCTGCAAAGAAAGTATATAATACAGTTCCAAGCGAATCGTGCTGCTTTACTTGACAACCCTCTCCTCAAGGACAATTAAACTAAACAAAAAGTTGACCATTTTCTCCTATGCCTTTTTGTTCCTCAACGCACCGCTTCAAGACTCAACGACTGGTCTGTATTGAGCAGCAACAATAGGTGGAACCATATTCTGCTATTGTGCCAATGCCTTCAATTATAAAACAAGGTTATGGCGTGGTAGATGACATTGAACGATGCCTATGGTTCAAAACGTAGTCTTCCCCGTTTCTGTCCCAAATTCATTGAGGTTCCAATTTCTTAGCTCATCTTTCCATGTCCTTGAGCAGCAGAACATTATGTTATCGGGAGTTTGTAGGATCAAGAGTAGAGACAACAGAGACAAAAGRGTGAAGTGCATGGAATACGCAGTTCAAGTAGAGACGTACAGTCTAAAGCCAAAAACCTCGTACTCAACGTAGACGGAGCCATTGGATCTCTCTTCTTGGACCTTCTCGTTAGAAGTGGGGTGTTCACTAAGCAAGAGATTAATGAGATTGTCCAGGTCGGTTATCTCAATGGCCTCTTCGTCCTTGCTCGATCCATCGGTTTAATCGGGTAACTCTCCTAACTGGCCACATTTATCTTTGCTTGAAGCAATTTGTTTGAATACATTGTTGCAGGTACAGATTCGAGCAGAAGAGATGGAAAGCTGCCACTGTACTGCCACTCGTGGGAAGATGTCTTGTACAATATTAGTAATCAAATCATTTATTCACTTTCATATTACTTTTGTTAGGAGGCTTATTTTCTGTTTGTAATTCATATATTTGCTCTGAAGATGTATAGTCTGTGTTTTCGTTGTGTTTTCCCAAAAACTCTTAAGACCCTAATGTTTTTAATATTTTTTACAACATCCCAGAAATTTTGTTTATACTGTAAACGCATCTAACTTTGACAATCTTTTCTAAGATGAGAATGTATTTTTTTTTATTAAAAAAAAAAAAAACACGTACCAATAGTTCTAATTAATTCAATAAAATTGCCAGATAAAGATCAAGACAACCATTTACTTATTTTAGAAAACATTTCGTTTCTTTCTTATAAGGTAAGTTTTTGAATTTAGTTTTCTAAAGAAACAATAACTTGATTTAGTATTATCCAAATACAATAAATGAAAACTATGGCACCCTAGGAAGTTAGAATATTTATTAATGAAGAACATGTTAACAAAAAAAAAAGGTATGATATTCAATTTCAAAAGGTGAGTTAGTTGCTGATATTTTGGCCGACATAAGACTTCGTCTTCGATAGTGATTGCAATATTGTAGTAGATGAATCGGTGGGGCGGTGAGTTCAATTTATTTTCCTTTCAATGTTCAGTTTTGCTCTAATTAATATTTTAAATGTTTTCTGAAAAACAAATTG